AAGAATTCAACAATGTGTACAGCCTGTAGCAGATTATGCTAAAGCAGTTAATAATCAACAACAAAATGAAAAAGAAAATTCCGAAAATTATTTGGATTTAAATAAAAAAAATAATAAAAATTATGAGGAAATTCAGGGAATTCAGTGGCCAACAAAAGTTATTGGAGGGAAAATATTTCAAGAATTGTGTTTATTAATTAGGCATTTTGAACGTTGTGTGAGTGGTTATAGAACTAAATGTAGAAGGCATATAACTGTTAGCTTAATTGAAGCATCTTATGGATATCTTTGTAATGGATATCTTTGTAATCTGTCAGGTTCTTACCAGTATTTTAATTTTTGTTTTTTTTTAAATTCTCTGGTTTTTTTTAAATAGAAACAGAATCAATTCTTAGGGAGGGAGGGGGGGCAATAGTGCCATTTGCCAGAATTCTGGCGCCAACACGTTATTTGCGAGAAAATCTGTTTAAATATTTATAAATTGGCAGGATTGGCTTTCCATCTGCCAGATATTTTTTCTGACAACCTTTACAAGCGAATTTGCGATGGCAAATACCACTTTTGAAATATTCTCTTGAATTATCCTTGTCCCCAACAAATTAAATAATTTTTCACTTTTTGTTGGGTCTGCAGAATGTTTAATGGAATTAGATCAACAACCTAATGTTAAAGGATGTCACGATAAAACACTTTTAGAAATTGAGGAAGCAAATAATGAACAAAATGGGACTGTTGTAAATAGATTAGAGAGAATGTGCAAGTAAAAAAAGATTTTAATTAGAAAAACTTTGTATTTTTAGTGCTTTAAATTATTTTTCTGAATGTGTTCGCCCTCCAATTAAGCAAAGCTGTGGAAATGAAGCTTGGAATGTTATATTTCGTGTATGAAAGATACATCTAGGTAGTTAAAGTTTTAAAATAAATTTAAAAATTAGAAAAATTTTTTCAGAATTTTAATGCTAATGTGTAACTTTGATAATTATTATAGATCGGGAGAGGAAGAAGAAGAAAATAATGATAATGATTATAGTAATAATATATTAATTACTTCGACAATTAAAAGGGAATTAATTAAAAATTATTTAATAAATTCTGAAGAAAGTAAACAAAATCAGCAATGGAAGGTTATTGAAGAGAAGGAAGAGGAAGAAGAGAATGGAGAAGAAAAGGAAGAGGAGGAAAATGATAAAGATGAAATAAAAAACAGTGAAGAAGATTGGCAACAATGGAAAAGAAAAATGATAGAAAAAGATGAGAATGAAGAAGAAAAGAAGGAAGAAGAGGGGGAAGGGGAGGAAGAAATCAAAAGAGAAGAAAATAAAGAGGAGGAGGAAGAAGAAAATAATTTTGGTTTTTATTTTTTCTCCCATAAAATTCATCATAATAATGAAGAAGAAAGACAAAGTCGTTTAACTAGTAGTGGAAATATTAAATTAAATAATGGAAATCTCTTTTATTTTTTTAATTTTATTTTGTAATAAATACTTAATTATTTAATTATTTTTGAATTTGTTATAAGGAAACGATTAATAGTTTTGTGTTTTAATTTTAAAAGCAATTAACAAAAGACAAATAAAAGGCAAATTGCTGGTATTAAACGAATCCAAAAATTACATAATTTAAATATTGATTTAATATTTTTGGGATCAAAAAAATATTCAGGGGAAAAAAGACAAGAATCAAACAAAAATATATTTAAATTAATTTAAATTCTTTTAATTTTAAATATTTTCCTTTCAACGGCACTTTTTGTTGTTTTCCAAACTTATTGACATTTAATGTTCCAAATGCCTAAATTAAAAATATTTTTTCAAAAAAATTATTCGAAACCTTACATCAATCCCCCAAAGATGGAGGATCCTTTTCAGCTATCAGTTGAGATCGAAGACTATTAGTAGCATCTAAGCAAATTTTATATGAAAAGTCACCATCGTCACCATGAGGTATAATAAGACTTGCATCACGGTCAACGTCCGTCGCTCTTCGAATACTCAAGTATAAATTCTCCAAATTTTCAGGTCCATTCTAAAAAAGCGCAAATAGAAAAGGCTCAAATCTCAAAAATTGAGAAAAACTCACAAGTCGAAGCACTCGAAAGTTGTATAACCGTTCTTTCTCAATAAACCCGTAGACATCTCCAAAACGATAGTTTTCATTATCTGTACACCTAAAGGGCACTAATTAAGATGAGGCTGTCGGGACCTTTTTTCGGTAGATATGTAAAAAAGGTTTGTCTATTAAAGGGTATTATAAAGCTCGTCGAGCTGTGTCAAATGACACTAAAATCAAAAAAATCAGACTTGATTTGACCGAGATACAGACCTCTGAAAATTGAAAAATCTTAGGGGCGAAAAACCATAAGGACAAAAATTTATTCAAATGATACCTCATTCGAGAGAGCTCGTCGAGCTGAATTAAATGACACCAAGATCAACGTGTTTGAACAAGTTTTGACAAAGTTATGACATTAAGTAGACCTATCGGAGTCGGGGACTTATGTCATAACTTTGTCAAATCTTGCCCAATCATGTGGATTTTGGTCTCATTTAATTCAGCTCGACGAACTCTCTCGATGAGCTATACACCGAATAAGCTATCACACACACACACACATTTCGACACCCTCATCTTAAGTTGTGCCCACCTGAGTTTAAACCCAAATCGTTTCTAAAAATAAAAAATGAATTTAAAAAAAATTAATCGAGTTTTACCCTTCCTTTATTATGAACAGTAAAAGTTCCCGTCTCGCCTGTAGGATCAAAAAATAACACATTCGGATAGATCTCTAGATCATCTATTGTCCACCAAGAAAAAAAGGCAAATTACTCATCCATCCGAACATTTTTGTTGTAAAAACGCCTAAAAATGATGCACAAAAATTGCCTAAATAAAGATAAAGTGATGAATAATGAGAAAACTTCAAACTTTTATATAAAATTTTTTATGTCTCTTTAGTAGTTTTAAACTCGAAAAAAGTATCCAAATAAATATTGCTTGATATTTTCATACTAATTATTATGCCTATTTACTATTTGATCTGATATACATCTGATATATTTGTCTCAAAAGACTAATTCGACGTCGCTTTCAATAAATGAAAGCGACGCTTTCAATAATTCTTTCAATAAATGTTTGTCCATTTATTCCCCTTTTATTTATTTTATTATTTAAATCTTCATCTTCCTCATTATTTAATAAAAACAAAAAATTAGGTAATTTTGTTTTTTGTTTTTTAAAATAATTAATTTCTTCTTCATCTTCCCTTTTATTTTCTATTAATTTAGGGGAATTTAAATTAAAAGAATATTTTTCTTTTACTAAATTTTGATCATTCTCCTAATTAAAAATAAATATTTCTTTTAATTTTTTTCTCTTTTTTACCTCATTTTGTTTAATTAAATATTGTTTAGATAATGTTTTTGTCTAGAAATTATTTAATTTATTTATTTAATTTAAATAATTTACTTCTATTGGAGTTGAAGAAACTTGTAAAATTAAACAAAAATAACAATTAATTATTAAAAAAATAAAAAAACATTAAAAATAAATTTTTGGGAAGCCGAAGAATATTTATTGAAGTTTTTGGAATAAGTTGAGAAATAATTGGATTTAGTCGGGGAAGATGAAATGGCATTCCTTTAAAAAAATTTTTTTAATTAAATAATTATTTGTTAAATTGTAAATTAAAAAAAAGGTGGGAAAAGAAAAAAATTAAATAATTAAAATTCGTGTAATTCAAAGCGAGTACCGTAAATATAACCTTAGATTTTTCTATAAGTCTCACTTATGGGGTTCTATAGTATGTACGTTTACTATTGTAGGACAGAAATATATGTACATAAATTTATTAATATTATTTTTGTAAAAGATAGATTTTAAAAATAATACTGGATGCGGCACGTCGCTCGATTTATTGTTAGTTTAACTCGCCTCAATTTTATCGTAAAGTGTAAATTATTTTTTTATTTGATTTTGTACAAAATTTTAATAATTTAATGGTACCACGTAATGGAAATATGATCACGGACAGTGAGGACAAACCTGCCAAACATTCGGAGCAGTACAAAAATATTTTTTCCAAAAGTTTTGTTAAAAGCATCGCGCGCCTAATTTGCCGCATCCAAGATATTTTTTATTTTTTAATAAAATTAAAAAATAATTTTTTTAGAAAAAAGCTTAAAAATTATTAAACAACAACAATTTTAATATTTTATTTTTGAGTTTTCAAAGTCAAAATAATTTTTATTCAACTTATTTAAAATGCAAAAAAGCGTGTAAATGTGCGTGTTTAGTTTTTAACGTGTAGGAGGAAAGTAGGAAGAAAATTTTTAAGAAATAAATGGAAGGGGGAGGGGTTGAGGGTAGGTTGTTGTTTAGGTAAAATAATTTACTAAGAAAAAATTCTAAAAATGGATTTAAATATTTTTTTTGGGGGAGGGAATAATAAATTTAGGAATTTAAAGTTAAATATTTAGTCACGAAATGTCTAAAATTATTTTTTAAACTTTGACTTGAAATTTAAATTGGTCATTTTATTAGACTTATTAAATAATTGGAATAATTTAAACAATTTTTATTAAGGGATCTGAAATAAAATTTCTTTTGAGTTCAGAAAAAATAAGAAGTAATTTTTAATTTATGGAAGACTAACTTCGAGAGAAAAGGGCATTTTTAAAGTTTAAAAGTATTTTTTAAATTTTGGACAAACTATATTTATTTATTACTTTTTAGTTTTTAAAAAATAAATGGGAATGTTGCCCATTTTCTTAGACTTTTTAAAGGGAATTTTATTTAATATTTTTATGGAGAATATATATGTACTAAACTCTTTAACTCTGACAGGCTCATTTTCAATAGCAGAAGCCCATTCTTGGTTAGCTTTGTGTTTAGCTGAAGTTCCCGAGCGTTGTCCACAGGCAGAGACTGTTACTTTTAATTTTCGTTCAACATTTAATGGAGGAACTCAATTACAAGCTAATTATAGGTGTTTTTAAAGAAAATTAAAAAAATACTTCTAATTTTCCTCAAAAAGTAAAGGGAGAGTTAGTTATCGTTCTGACAATTTATCCACAATTGTTATTTTACGTGATGTTATTAGCAGAATTGTCTCTATGGGACAAATAAAAGTACATATTGCTTGTGATATTAATGAGGAAAGTATTAAAAAATGTTTAGAATTAATTTGGCCTAAATTGGAATATCAAAGTCGGTTAGTTAGACAATTGGAATTAGCGAGAGGGTTAAAGGTTAATTTTAAAGAATATTTTTTATTTTTTTTGAGTGTTGTTGTTGTTATGTTTGTTGTTGTTGTTGCTTGTTGTTTTATTTGTTTGTTGCATGTTTGTTTGTTTGTTGCACTATAAAAACACTAAAAATTTCTTTATTCTTGTTTGTTAATCAAAAGTGTCTCGTTATTGTTCATCGCCTAGTTTTTGTATGTTTATTTCTTATTTTGTTCCCTTTTCAAAAAATTATTTTTTTAAAGTTATCCAAAAATGTTTTTATCTAAATTAATTACAAAACAATCATTTCTTCACATTTTCTTCTTCCTTAATGTGTTATCTTCAATATTTTCTACTTCAACGGCCGCACAAAACATTCAATTAATTGATCCAAAAGCAGAAAGCCGAAAATTGCCAAAATCGTGGGATTCTATTTTGAATGATTGGGAAAGACATCCAGCAACTAATTGGTGGCATGTTATTGTTACTTTTGTTTTTCCTGCTATTGGAATGGGGTTATTTGGTCTTTTAATTGTAAGATTTTTAAATGATTTCGACAAAAATTCATTTAAAGTATTCCTGTGTTCGCTTGTGTAAATGGTTTCATGCAAGACGTGAAGCGCTTCTTTTGGCAATGGAAACAAGAAGAATTAAACGTTCTCGTTCACGTTCAATTTCTCGTAAAAGCACAGCAGAAAAACCAAAAAAAGAAGAAAAGAAAGAAGAAGAAGATATTCCATTAGAAAAAACCAAATCCCGTCCAGAACTTTCAATCGACATCGAATCAAAAACTGTTGGCGGCCCTCCACAAATAATTTCTGGTGTTCACATAAACGAATCAAAAAGTGAAAATTCTCTGTCATTAGACTTGGAATTTCGGCCAACAAAAACTTCAGAAAAGTCAATTAAAGGAAATATTCAAATGCTTGGATCTATGAGGGATGGAGGAGGAGGGGGAACTTTTAGTGGAAGTGGCTCTTTAGGTTCTCCTTCAATTGTTGGGGATGGTGCTCCAGCTGTTGGATCATTACGAATTAATATGCCTGCTAGTAGCTCTTTGCGAAAGAATGAAGGAAGTTTGAAGAAGAAAGAAGAAATTAGTAGTGGAAGTAAAAAAGAGGGGAAATAAATAAATAATTAAATGTATGTATTTAATTGTGTGTATTTTTGGTGCTTTGATTATTTATATTGTATGTAAATGTTAATTTTATTTTTTTTGTAAAGTACCTATATTTGTGTTTTTGTGTATTTTTGTTTATTTTAAAAATTTTAATTAAAAAATAGATTCTATTTTTACTAGGGTTGTTCACTACCGGTTATTAACCGGTACCCACGGTTTTCGTTTAATCCAAATTTTAGAAACCCGGTTTTCGAGTGGACAACCCTAAATTTACTGGAAATAGGTAATGGGAGTTAAAAGTCAAAACAATTTTTAAAGTAAATTAAAAATAAATTTAAAGGAACTTGAAGCAACATTTGAAGATTTAAGTTATTTAAATTCCGAGTTAAAACAATTATTAGCTAATTACGAACATTTGCATAAAGAAGTAGACAATCAACAAATACATCTGGATAGAATACTTGGAATTATTACAGATTTGTATATTGATAAATTTAAAATGCTTGGACAGAATGTTAAACATAAAACTAGAGAATTATTGGATATTTTGAAGGGGGAATGTGATTTGGAAAAAATTGTGGATTTTTTTAATGGAAAATAATTAATTATTTTATATTTCTTTATTAATTTTTCTTTTAAACAAAAAATAAAAAGTTATAGTAGATTTTGTAGTCTTTCGAATATTGCAGTAAAGTGTATTCTGTCCTTCCTTATGGCGGTTTAAAAATTAAGAATTTTTTCCCTGTACTCAGGGAATATAGATTCCCTGATTTCAAGGGATATCAAGATCAGAGCATATAGGGTAAGAGGGGTAATATCTTTATAGGGTAATATCTGTGGGTTTGGAGAAATATCGGGTTGTGGGATTAAGCGGGATATATATGGATTAAGGGGATAATATCTGAGAATAGTGATATCTGGGAATTAAACTCTCGCCTTAATCACCAATACATATACTTTCAACCACACGATTTGCATCTTTCTTAATCCATAAATCTCATGTTATCTCGAATACCCTTAATCCCTGTAAATCCCAAGTTATCTCCCTAATCTATTGATTCATTACAACTATTGATGTATAAATGCTATTTAGTTATTATTATGTTATTATTATGTTAATTTTTCACTTAATAATCAAATTCATAGGTAATTCCAAAATTTTGAAAAAATTTGATATTTGATCAAATATTTGATATTTTTGATCAAATTTTTTTCAAATATTTTCAAATATCAAATAATTTGATCAAATATTTGTTTGACCACTTTTGGAAAAAATCAAATATTTTCAAATATTTTCAAATATTTTCAAATATCAAATAATTTGATCAAATATTTGTTTGACCACTTTTGGAAAAAATCAAATATTTTCAAATATTTTCAAATATCAAATAGTTTGATCAAATATTTGATTGATGAGTTTTGGAAAAAATCAAATTTTTTCAAATAGTTTCAAATATCAAATAGTTTGATTTGATATTTGATTTTGCGGTTTGTCCGATCTCTACTGCTAGTAGCTCTTTGCGAAAGAATGAAGGAAGTTTGAAGAAGAAAGAAGAAATTAGTAGTGGAAGTAAAAAAGAGGGGAAATAAATAAATAATTAGAAATGTATTTAATTGTGTGTATTTTTGGTGTTTTGATTAGTTTTATTGTATGTAAATGTTAATTTTATTTTCTTTTTGTAAAGTATACATAGCTGTGTTTTGTGTATTTTTGTTTAGTTTAGAAATTTTAATTTAAAAATATATTTATTTTTAGTAGGGTTTACTAAGGTTACTACCCCGGTTTTCGGTTAATCCAAATTTTAGAAACCGGTTTTCGATTTTGAGTTCTAGACAAATACCGATTTTATTTCGGGGGAATTTTTAATAAAATCACTGCTTTCCAGAAGTTACGATTCTTTAAACTTTGTAAAAACGGTTAATTTTTGGCAAAAATAAAAAAAATTTCGGTTTAAAACCGGTCGTGAACAACTTGTAAATTAAAAATAAATTAAATTTAAAGGAATTGGAAGCAACATTTGAAGATTTGAGTTATTTAAATTCCGAATTAAAGCAATTATTAGCTAATTACGAACATTTACACAAAGAAGTAGACAATCAACAAATACATTTGGATAGAATACTCGGAATTATTACAGATTTATATATCGATAAATTTAAAATGCTTGGACAAAATGTTAAACATAAAACTAGAGAATTATTGGATATTTTGAAGGGGGAATGTGATTTGGAAAAAATTGTGGAGTTTTTTAATGGAAAATAATTAGTTTATATTTCTTTTTTTTATTTTTAAAGTAAAAAAATAAAAGATAGATTTTGTAGTCTTTCGAAAATTGCAGTTAAGTGTATTCTGAACTTAAAGGGATTGAGCCTCTGAGATTTTTCTGGCTGGCTTTTTCTTAATTTTTCATTTTTGTGAATGAATCCCTACTGATTTTATTTAAAAAAATACCAAATATATTTATATATTTTTATTTAGATTTCTAATATTTAACATTAAATTTTCTATTTAATTGCTTTCCCTCCCCCTTTAATTATAATTTCCTCTTCTTTCTTTTTTCGACATAATCTTTTCCCATTCGGCCCAATCGGTGCTTTTTCCTTTATTGGCAATCCAAGTACTTGTCTACATGAAATTCTCCATTTATTACATTTTTCTGGATTTGTTGTTGTCCAATTAATTGGTGGTGGTGGTGGTGGGGATTTTATTGTTGAAATTGTTTCTTTTTTTACTATAGATTAATTAAATTAATTTTTTAGTTTTTAAAAAGTTAACTCCAATTATTTTTGTCTCTCTATTAGTGTTGGTCACGGTACGGTATTACCGCGGTATTTTTCGGTAATACCGCGGTATTTTTTACCGAAATACCGATACCGATTATTAATTTTATAAAAAAATTATTTTCCCTTATCATTTCTCCTTACCTTCATTTAAACTTTTTTTTCTTTTCCATTGTTTTTTCTCTTCAACTAAATTTTCCTTTACTTCTATATTATATTTTTTATTTTTTCTTATTTTATTTTTTGTTTCCTTTTCCTCCTCCTCCTCTTCTTCTTCTTTCTTCACTTCTTCCTCTTCCTCCACTTTCTTTTCTTCTTCCACCTCCTCCTCCACCACCTCCTCCACTTCCTCCTTTTCTTCTTTTATTTCATTAATTTCTTCATTTACTATATATTTCTTCATTTTTCTCTTCTTTACTTCTTCTTCCTCTTCTTCTAAATTTCCTTCATTATTTTCTTCTTTCAATAAATTTACATCCTTCTTGTGGAGGTATTGTCTCTTTAATTCTTTTTTTATCAACAAAACAATCCTTTTTAATTTTTTCTTTTTTATTTTCCTCCTCTTTTTCTTCTTCAATTTTTATTTTTCTTTTGGAAGAATTTTTAGGTAATTTTTTATTTTTTTGGCGGCGAACTGTTTTTCATAGATTTGCTAATAATTAATTTCTTCTCCTCTACAGTAATGTTTTTATTTTGTTTTTCTTTCTCAATTATTTCCGTTTGTTGAATTGCTGCATTTGCAACGTAACAACTTTTTCGATATATATCTTTTAATTGTAAGATTTTTAAATGATTTCGACAAAAATTCATTTAAAGTATTCCTGTGTTCGCTTGTGTAAATGGTTTCATGCAAGACGTGAAGCGCTTCTTTTGGCAATGGAAACAAGAAGAATTAAACGTTCTCGTTCACGTTCAATTTCTCGTAAAAGCACAGCAGAAAAACCAAAAAAAGAAGAAAAGAAAGAAGAGGAAAATATTCCATTAGAAAAAACCAAATCCCGTCCAGAACTTTCAATCGACATCGAATCAAAAACTGTTGGCGGCCCTCCACAAATAATTTCTGGTGTTCACATAAACGAATCAAAAAGTGAAAATTCTCTGTCATTAGACTTGGAATTTCGGCCAACAAAAACTTCAGAAAAGTCAATTAAAGGAAATATTCAAATGCTTGGATCTATGAGGGATGGAGGAGGAGGGGGAACTTTTAGTGGAAGTGGCTCTTTAGGTTCTCCTTCAATTGTTGGGGATGGTGCTCCAGCTGTTGGATCATTACGAATTAATATGCCTGCTAGTAGCTCTTTGCGAAAGAATGAAGGAAGTTTGAAGAAGAAAGAAGAAATTAGTAGTGGAAGTAAAAAAGAGGGGAAATAAATAAATAATTAAATGTATGTATTTAATTGTGTGTATTTTTGGTGCTTTGATTATTTATATTGTATGTAAATGTTAATTTTATTTTTTTTGTAAAGTACCTATATTTGTGTTTTTGTGTATTTTTGTTTATTTTAAAAATTTTAATTAAAAAATAGATTCTATTTTTACTAGGGTTGTTCACTACCGGTTATTAACCGGTACCCACGGTTTTCGTTTAATCCAAATTTTAGAAACCCGGTTTTCGAGTGGACAACCCTAAATTTACTGGAAATAGGTAATGGGAGTTAAAAGTCAAAACAATTTTTAAAGTAAATTAAAAATAAATTTAAAGGAACTTGAAGCAACATTTGAAGATTTAAGTTATTTAAATTCCGAGTTAAAACAATTATTAGCTAATTACGAACATTTGCATAAAGAAGTAGACAATCAACAAATACATCTGGATAGAATACTTGGAATTATTACAGATTTGTATATTGATAAATTTAAAATGCTTGGACAGAATGTTAAACATAAAACTAGAGAATTATTGGATATTTTGAAGGGGGAATGTGATTTGGAAAAAATTGTGGATTTTTTTAATGGAAAATAATTAATTATTTTATATTTCTTTATTAATTTTTCTTTTAAACAAAAAATAAAAAGTTATAGTAGATTTTGTAGTCTTTCGAATATTGCAGTAAAGTGTATTCTGTCCTTCCTTATGGCGGTTTAAAAATTAAGAATTTTTTCCCTGTACTCAGGGAATATAGATTCCCTGATTTCAAGGGATATCAAGATCAGAGCATATAGGGTAAGAGGGGTAATATCTTTATAGGGTAATATCTGTGGGTTTGGAGAAATATCGGGTTGTGGGA